CCAAGATAGATCCCTGCGGTACACCACATTTTATCTTTCTCGGGCTCGATAAATGACCGTTTACCAGACATTGCTGCTCTCTATCAGATAGATAAGACTTGAACCAATTTAGTGGAATTCCTGATATACCAAAGTAGTTAAGCATCTTTTTTAATAGTATTTCATGGTTTATACAATCAAAGGCCTTACGTACATCAAGGAACACGACACTAGTTGGTACTACGGAAAACATGCAGAGAACACTTCTATTTCAGAGTAAGGAGGGATACTTGTTAAGGGAATTTTTGATAAACGTTTGTGAAATGAAAGCCATATCTGTGTCCCCAATTCAAGCCCTATCGTCTCCTCGGCGAATTGTGGGCGAATTGATGATGACAAATATTCGGCCGGTGACACAACGGCTTCCGTTGGTAACTTAAATAAATGTCTAAAGGCCGGCGCACACTAGAGCTATGTGCTTAGCAAAATGTCATTCGTGACTGTTGGCGTAAGGAGATAGCTCTCGTGTGCGGGCGATTTACGAACGACTTTTGTCATTCGTGCCACTTACGCCAAATATCTAACATGGTTGATAATTTCTGCCTCGCGTGCCAAAATCTTTTCGTGTGCGGCGAACGAAAGCTATCTGCTTACGGATTGTCGTAACAGCGCATGCGTAGTATACGAAAGTAAACATCCAAGATGGCGGCGCAAAATGAATTACTGGCCGAGGCAATTTTAGAGGACAAACTTACTGGCTATTTCTTTCACCGCACATTCCCTTTTGTCCCTATTTCTAAAATCTGCAGAACTCACATCGTATAAACATTTATATTCAGGCCAAAGTTCGACAAGTTTGTCCTCTAAAATTGCCTCGGCCAGCAATTCATTTTGCGCCGCCATCTTGGATGTTTACTTTCGTATACTCCGCATGCGCTGTTACGACAATCCGTAAGCAGATAGCTTTCGTTCGCCGCACACGGAAAGATTTTGGCACGCGAGGCAGAAATTATCAAACATGTTAGATATTTGGCGTAAGTGGCACGAATGACAAAAGTTGTTCGTAAATCGCCCGCACACGAGAGCTATCTCCTTACGCCAACAGTCACGAATGACATTTTGCTAAGCACATAGCTCTAGTGTGCGCCGGCCTTAACATATCTAAAAGCGAAGATATAATATCGGTTGCTAATACTTCGTCGCATAGGGAGCTTGAAGATTTTATTGATAACTCATTTAATAATGAGAGCGTCATGCGCGCTACTGTCGACTGTAGGCTACTAGTAATTCTGCTTAAACTTCTAGTAATTCTACTCCACTCCAGGAGCGTGTTGACGAAAACTCGGAAGCTAGAGGGACGTTTTTTCACATTCAAGGAAAAGGTCGAATCGGAAATAGCAGGTCTGTTCGCTAAATTTTAAGAAAACAATTTATTAACAGAAGTATACGTAAACAAGAGTTGTGCAACCTGAGCAGAGATAATTTGAAATTAAAATCACGCATTGTGGAACTAGAGAGGAAAGTGTCTTGTATAGTAGATAAATCCCTCGAAAATAACTCCAATCATGTTCAAGACCAAAAACAATATCAACAGCTGCCTATTTCAACCCACTCGAATGCAGTTCAAGTACAAACCGAAAATTGTTTGATGATTAATGAGGAAACGAAAAATGATCAATTAGACAAAAAAACGTCATGTCTAAAAAATTAGTTGCAATTGTAAAACTACAAGTGTTAATGACCCTTCAGATAGATTACATCCCACTGCCACTGTTCAACAAGTGATTTTAATGAACACTTTACCTCGGTGGGTCAAGGAACGGTAGAAAGCGTAAAAATGTTATCGTCGGATTTTAATGCTGCTATGATGCCAACTGTTTCTCCTCCAAATATATCGACTTTAGAACAGTTTCATTTTGTATATGCCTATCACTACAACTGACTTAGAAGAGTGTATTCTAAAAATGCCTGGAAATAAATCCCCTAGTGGCGATAAGATCCCAGTTAAAATCTTGAAAGATTGTTTGGCTAATATTTCAATACCCGCTAACAAATATCATAAATCAATCCTTTGAAACATGTACATTCGCAAAAAACTGAAAGTTAGCAGAAGTTATTCCACGCATTAAAGAGGGTTAGCTGGAAATAACCGCCCAATATCCTTGATACAGTCTGCTGGTGAAATTTGTGAGAGAATAGCTCTAGAACAGTTTACAGATTATTTAAAGGAAAACGCCCAAGCTCCTTACTAGACACCAGAGTGGAAACAATTCAAATCATTCCACAGAAACCCTGAGCATGTATAGTTCTCAGCGATTTTGTTCTTAATGCGATCGATCGTAAGCAAGTCGCAGTTCTTGTACTGTACTCTGGTGGACTTAAGTAAGTCTTTTGGATAACATGCATAAACCATAATATACTCATTGCAAAATTAGAAAATATTGGTGCATCATCAGCAGCAGTTAACTGGTTCAGGAGCTACTTGAACGGATGGCAACAGTTTGTACGTACTGGTTCGACCCTCTCAAATAGCCTATTTGTAAAGATGGTGTTTCCCAGGGATTAATCATGGGTCCTCTACTCTTCAACATCTATATAAATGACCTACATGAGTACCTGCAGCTAGTAAATATATTGTAACAAAGAATGCTATATAGACGATTCAAAATTATTTTTAGCGTTTCATTTAAACGAACTGGATGACGCAGTAAACAAAGTTAACAGTGATCTTCATTCGTTGTTTGAATGGTGCTACTCAAATCATCTTCTTACAAATTCAGACAAAACAAAGATCATGATCTTCGGAGTACCCCAGCTGCTTTCCCGTTTACCCGATGTAACATTTACCCTGATGGATAAAGAGTTAACACCAGACATAAACGCAAAGGATCTTGGTATGACATAGGACTCGCATATGACTTATGATAAACATGTGACTAACATCGTCTTGTCCTGTATGAACATTATTATTATCACAGATAAATAGAGTACGACATCTTTATAGTCGTGAATTGTTCGTAAAAATTATTAAAAGTCTAGTTTTTAGCAAATTATATTATTGTTCTTCCGGATGGGCATCAACCTCGCAGAGCAACATCAAGAAGATGCAATGTGTTCAAAATTACGCTGCACGAATCGTCACTGGAATACAGAAGTATGATCACATCACACCCCATGTCTGAAGGACTAAACTGGCTTCCGCTATCGAAAAAACTTCACTTACGCGATGCATTTATGACCTTCAAGTGCATAAAAAGAACTGCCCCTACCTATATCTAACGTAGCATTTTCTTAGTAGATTACAATAAGTGAGAGAACCACAATTAGACAATCAAATGATATTCAAATTCCTAAATGTAGAACTGCTACTGGACAAAAGTCGTTTTCTTATAAAGAGCATCGGTTAATTAAATGGAACTCTCTCTGCCCCTCATTTAAACAGGTTAAGTCAGCCAATGTTTTAAAAATTGCCTAAAGAAACAGCTATTAGAAATTTTCTTAGACACGAATTAACATTTAAATACATTTTATGACTTAGGATGTAAGTTAAGTTTTCAAGTTACAGATATTTTTCCTCTAAATATAACATATTAGTAATATTTTTGTAATAGTAACTGTAAATTAGTTTTGAAAAGCCGGAAATGGGATAGCTAATAAAATTGTATATATTTAAATATATTTGCATGTACTGTATGTATCCGTAACATATATCTAGGCGTGTAAGATAAGAGGCATTTAGCGATTTAGAGCGGACCCTGCATAAATAATATTTAAAGAACCGTTCAGAGTTTATATAATCTTTGAAACCTGCACCACATGATATTATAGAAATATTGATCACTGCATGCCTATAATATACGAAACTCTTATACGATAGTCACACCACTGCTCGAAGGAGGTTTATCACACAAATAGTCATGCACAAACGATAGTCACGCCACTGCTCGAAAGAGGAAATGTCTCTTAATATACGTTTAACGGCAACGAAGATGAGTAAAATGATGAGTAAAAAAGTAAAAACATTGCAGACTATATCACATAGACAGTATAGATATCTTATGTTGGCTTCTTTCAAAAGTTGTAATTAAGATTTTTATAGAAAATAAAATTTTGTTCAGAATTTAATGGTGATGCATTTTCTAAATTGGCTTATCAAAATTGCGAAAATAAAGTCTCGCGAAACATCGCGTCGAAAAAATCGCGAAATTGATTGCGCGCAAAATTAAAAGTACGAAAAAGGTACGTATTACGTTCTCAACGTAATACGTACTCAACAAAGCTCTCAAGTTTTAATGGCCAATTTTCACGAAATAAAACTTCTTTATTCACATTCAAAAAAAGCAATCAAACAATTACACCAAATAACTGTTGCCCGTGATTATTTTATCCTTTAAATATTCCGTTTACTGCATATTCACACACCTTAATGGAAGCAAACGTCTTTTAAGAGAACCTCGAATTGTCCAAAACGAACTTAATTCGTCTTAGTTGCGTGGTTTAGTTTACAGGTTAGTGTTAACCTCCACTTTGACAGCGGAAGTTTAGTTTAGTTTAATTGATTTATCACAATTTACATAATTTTACAAGACTACACATGACACTTTAAACTTTACGAAACAAACTAAACAATCATAGAATTTATAAGACAAACATCTACACACATCTATAGTTTTGGTGGGACCACGGGAGGAAGGAACATGCCGAATTTTCGACCCTGTTGGAATTAACCTCCCATTATAACATTCAACAAAACAACATGCCATACACTATTAAATATTATATGCAAATATGCATAGCCATATATCAAGGTAATAAATAGTATGGTTTCGAGTGCAATCCGGAAAAAAAACAACAACATGGCATAGAGACTTTTTCGAAGGCGTTCAAATTTCAACAAGTCCGAAGGACGAGGGGGTACATTGCGTTGTCGTATATGATTTCTTATTGCCATTGTAAATACAAGTATGTTTGGCCATGATACTTGAATTCTTTTCTGATTAGTAAAACGGCCTCGAGTGTTTATAACATAAAGTGGCTTTGTCAAATATTTTAAATAGCTCGTCACGCAATAACAGAGAAGGATTATTTGAGAACAGTAAAATATAAAATAGTCTCAGTACTCCAACTACACTATCACTGGTAGTAGAAACCTTAAATTGAGATTTTAATTTGCTGGACTAATACACCACGTCGTCGTAATTGCTTTTTCTATACTTGTCGTGGATCTTGAAAGTACAAGGTAAATTTATGCCGGTATGGTTATCCGAGTTAATTATAAACATTTTGCCATATTACTGGGCGGCATGCAACCTTCTACAGAATATATAAGATAACACTCAGGATTTCATTAATAAACTAAGGCATAAGGAAATTGGTGGTTACTTGGTAGAAAAAATTCAAAGTTTCAGAGCATTCATTCTAAAATATCCTCATATATTGCCTTTCACTTCCGTGATAGTTCATACTATTATTTAGCTATCATGGTTATGTCTAAAACATTCTATACTGCTCTGATAAATGCTCCGGTTGCAATGTATTGTATAACGTTGTAGTTCATTGCAAAATAATTCGTTTAATGTTGAGTTTTCCTAATTAAGAGATATAATTGCAACGTATATATAGAGGTGTCATCTTGATGGTGGAGCGTCATGCGAATAAATACGTCACTGCATGACCGGTCTATTTTGAAACACTTAACTAATACTTAACTGGTAGCATTCAAAAAAATAGTCGATGAGTTGACGTAAGGTAGAAGAGCGCTCAATACCATAATGAGTAGAGCGGAATTAATTCAGTCAAGGTTTGAATGTTTGCGTCGCTACTCTGAGTTTCACGCTTTACGCGATCATCAGGCAACTGACAAATAGTATTCAATATTCATAATAAATATAGGTTACATTTTACAACTTGATTAAGCAGGTATCTGGTTACATGTCTACATTTGGAAAACAAGTCAGAGCGTTTGTTCAGGAATTCAGTTTTCTTCGCTTTCATAATAAGTAGTTTCTCCTCGAGGCATAAATTACACCGTTTAGATCCTGGTTTGTATGCTTTGACTTTCTTCATAATGGACCACTTTATTGTATACCGACTTTTTTCTGACTTCAGTTTCCAGACGTACTTGGACAGTTCGGTGTTGCTCTTGTATTCCTCATGTCGGAAAGACTTAGTGTGATTGCGGTATCTTGTTTTGAAATCGCCCGCCGTCATGCCAATGTATATTTTATTTTCCTGGTTGTTGGCAGTGCTGGTTGTCACTTCGGCTTTGTATACGATGCTCTCAGTAAGACATTTTTTACCAAGTGGACAGTTGGCGGGTTTTTGGCAGTTGCACATTGGCGAGTCGTTTTTTGTAGGTGTTGGTATTACCGTTGGTATGGATGATTGTATTACCCTAGCAGTTGGCGTTCGTTTTGTGTTTCGGTTGAGTATTTTACGATTATGTTTACGGATGAGATTTTTCATGTTTGTCATGCAACTGTAACTAATACGGACTGTGTGGCGGTTGAAAAGTTTGTGCAGTTTGTTTGAGGGAGGAAAATGCTTGTCAATTAGGTTTAGGAATGTCTGTGCTACATTGGTCTTAACGTTCTTGCTATAAGATGGGTTGTACCATGTAATGTTTCGTTGTCTGTTTCGTTTATCGGAGTTATTAGTGTTGTTTTGAGTTTGTGTGTACGTTAGGTTAACGTCAAAGTTGCTTTGCTTGAGAGCGTTGTTGTAAAGTAGTGCTGCTGAGTTGAATTGCTGTGTTGCTTCTAATTATTATTCTAATTATTTATGCGTTGAATGCTTCTTTGTTTTTATTATGAAAGCGAAGAAAACTGAATGCCTGAACAAACGCTCCGACTTGTTTTCCAAATGTAGACATGTAACCAGATACCTGCTTAATCAAGTTGTAAAATGATAACCTATATTTATTATAATATTGAATAATATCTGTCAGTTGCCTGATGATCGCGTAAAGCGTGAAACTCAGAGTAGCGATGCAAACATTCAAACCTTGACTGAATGTCAATGTTCAAGATCCAGCCGCGGCAGACAACATCTTTCTGCTTGCGCTGGGTATGGAAATTATATAATACACACTCTAGAACATTTTCATCTTAACATATTACAGAGTGTACAATTACACAACTTAATATATATATATATATATATATATATATATATATATATATATATATATATATATATATATATATATATATATATATATATTTATATATTAAAAGATTAAAAGTTTCTTGTCACTAGCTATGTAAAAAACGTAATCACGTTTATAAAAACGTTTTTACAATTTTAATATATAAATATGAATCCTAGCTGCAATTTTAGCATTTTTCGTTTTTGTTGAGAAAGAACTTCACGCCCTACGTAGGAACTAGGCAACCGGGCTTGATGAGCTACCACCAGGATTGTTAAAGGACTGTGCTACTCGTATATCTGAACCACTGTGCCACATACTCAATCTTTCCATTAAAAGTGGAACTACACCTAACATATGGGAAACTGCGAAAGTCTGGGAACCATGAACTCCCTCAGAATTATCGACCAATATCCGCGCTTCCCGGTTCTTTCGAAAATACTAGAAAAAGCTGTCCACCATCAACTTATCGATTCCCTCGAAAGTAACAGTCTACTATCTGAATCACTATTTGGTTTCAGAAAATACGGTTCCACAAAGTCTACAAAACTAGCAGTAGCTCTTCTTTGTGATGATATACGAAGCGAAATGAATAAAGGTAACCTTGTTGGGGTAGTTTACTTGGATCTATCAATTTTGAAACCATCGGGCATGCCTCCTTACTCAATAAACTTTCTGCATTCGGTGTAAGAGGCAAGGAAATGGATTGGTTTGCAAGTTATTTCTTCAATTGAACGCAAGTGGTAGCACTTGGAAGCATGAATTCAGAACCAGGACCAGTGTATTGTGGTGTGCCTCAGGAGAGCATTTTGGGGCCTTTGCTCTTTATAATAGGCCGTATTCCCTGGCCCCAAAAGTCGCTTAGAAAACGATTTTTGTTGCCCCCCTTCGGGCACTACTTTAAATTTACATGAATCTATAGATTTTTATACGCTGAGTTCGAATTCACTTGTTGTCACTCGCACAAACCTGCAGTTTTTTTGTATTTTACGATCAAACATCAACATTTTTTATTAACATTTCCGCCATTTTGTTCAGGAAACTTCATGTTATATACAGTTATTGTACTAGTTCAAGTCTCTTAGCAGGGGGGTTGCACGCGGTATTACGCATTTTTTATCACTCTTCTGAGGAAAATATACAGAAATAAATAAAAATATAGATATGTTTCCACAATATTAAAGTGCTAAAGGTAATAATACATGTTTGTAAATAATCAGGAACTAATCTACTGTTCTTGTCATCCATAAAGACTCACTTGTCCTTGGTAAAGTTGTTTATTTTATTTATTATTGAAATTATGTACATAATTTTAGCCTTGCAATGTGAATAGGCAATTTTCCTGGGTATTGTCTACCTGAAATTTTGTCAACAATAAAGTTTTGAAGGTTTTATCCCTCAAAGAGATTTCAAAATAAATTTTAACTTTGAAACTTTCTAATCTCCTAGGCGAGCCAGCACAGGTAAACCGAGTTGATTTAATCCCATGTTTACAAGAGACTTTTGAGGCGGGCTGGTTCGCCAAAACAGATCACTGTTATAAATAGTATAATATAATATTTTTTTACTTCTCAAGATCTTGCCTTGACAGGCCAGCCCAGTTCCATATAAATGCAAGATGAATATTAGTTTAAATTACATAGCGACGTTAGATCTTGGCAAAGCGAGCTAGCTCGGGTATCCGGCTGGCTTGGGTACCCCCTAAGGAAATGAAGAAATGTTATTTACATCAATAGATTGATGTGAATAGAGTATTATTTAATGCCCAGCTGTTATCCAAGATCTAAGGCATGGAAAAAAAGAGTCTAGGCTAGCCCAACTGGAAAGAAGGTTTATGTAACTAATGCATATTGGTAGGTATAGTGATCCCAGATTACTTTAATTAAATTTCTATAGTGCCTGCCTGGCCAAATATAAATTAATAAAGTATGCTTCCTCCAAGTGCTTGGTAATGAGTGGCAGCTCAAATAGGATTAGAGCTTATTAAGGTGAGGATGTATCATGACAATATGTTGTTAAACCTCATTATGGCTCAACCAATTCAAATGGCTCGACCAATTCATGTCTCTAGGTGGCATGACTTTGAGATTTGCTTGTGTGAATATAATTTTTTGCTTAGTACCTTTGTTCCAGCAAGCCATTGCATATGCTTGCCTCAACAGTGTCACATAAATTGAAACACCAAGCAAGCTATTATAGCTGTAATCAATTGGGGCTATGTCCTGTATGGCCACCATTTGCTAATGTAAATACTTTAATAACAATAAAGTGATTAAAAAAATATGGCTAATCTAGGCTGGGTTAACTCCATATAAACAGACCAAAAGTAAGCTGTCAGTCTGTCTTAGAGTGAAAGACATCTTCCAAAAGTTTTTTTACAAAGCTCAATGTCATGATAGCAAAAATTTTATTATAATACAAGAAAATGGAACATACCATAGTTAATAGAATAGATGGTTTGGAAACTCATTAGAATAACAATATATATACCTCATTATCTACAGGTATGTTAGTCAACGTTTACAGAGGTGTAACTTAACACTTGCCCGGGGCAAGTGAATATCATGACGGGCAAGTAAACGTTTTTTCTTGCCCGATTGGGCAAGTTGCCTCTTGCCACAAAAAGCTCGGCTTTCATTATCGGATAATTTTTTTATGGCGCATGTACTTGATTCAAATTTTGTTTTTTGTGGGCCAAAGCTAGATCTAAGGCAGTATAACATAGCAACATAGAGAATGAGTCGACATGTTGCCCCCTTGATTTATACCCCCTGGCAAATTAATTTTATTCAGGGCAACTAATTTTCATGTCCAATTAACTTGCCCTGAGAGCAAATGGTCAAAAAAGTAAAGTTACACCACTGGTTTATTCATAAATCTGGTCTCTGTATTTTTGCCCAACTAACCAATAGCAATGTCTTAGGAAAGTTACCTATCCGTAACTCGAACAATAGGGTAAATTGAAAATTGCAAGAATACAAGGTGGATTTGGCAAGAATACAATACACACATGACGATGAAGGACCAGATTTATGAATAAATGTTGACTAACATAAATAATGAGTTTGAGAGTTTCAGCCAAACCATCTATTCTATTAACTGTGATGGAACTCATTATGTGCAGATTTACTAAATGGATGAGCTAATTTGATTGAAGTCAACTGCTACTAATGGGCAATGGTCTATTTGTGTTAATAAATTACCTAGGTGACTAGGTCTAACATTTTATACTAAACAACAAATAGGTCTAACATTTATTAATTAAACAACAAGTATATTGTGCTCCTTATTCATTGTTAACAAAAATTTGAAAGAAAAATTGCCTATTCACATTGTAAGGCTAAAATTATGTACATAATTTCAGTAATAAATAAAATAAACAACTTTACCAAGGACAAGTCAAGTGAGTCTTTGTGGATATAGACCATATAGTGACAGTCTTTGCAATTTCACATCAAGGTGAGGCCAAAAACCCAAAGGTTGGCGCAATAAAGAATAGTAGATTAGTTCCTGATTATATACAAACATGTATTATTACCTTTTGCATTTTAAATTAATATTGTGAAAAAATATCTATATTTTTATTTCTGGGGCCGGTTGTATAAAAAAGTGATTAAAGTTAACTATAGTTAGTGAAAACGTCATCCAATAAGAAGCGCGTATTTGAGAGTTAATCACTATTTAACTACAAAATAGTGATTAAAAAGTAATTAAGAGTTTTATACAACCGGCCCCTGTACGTATATTTTCCTCAGAAGAATGATAAAAATGCGTAATACCGCGTGCAACCCCCCTGCTAAGAGACTTGAACTAGTACAATAATTGTATATAACATGAAGTTTCCTGAACAAAATGGCGGAAATTTTAATAAAATATGTTGATGTTTGATCGTAAAATACAAAAAAACTGCAGGTTTGTGCGAGTGACAACAAGTGAATTCGTACTCAGCGTATAAAAATGTATAGATTCGTGTGAATTTAAAGTAGTGCCCGAAGGGGGGCAACAAAACTGAACGAAAAGCGGTCAGGGAATACGGCCTATAACGTTCTTTAACGATCTTGCTGGCTCCATGAATTCAAAAGTAACAAGACGCTCCACGGAGCGTAAAGTCGCTGGGGCGATGGAAATAAGCACAAGTGATACCACTTAAGAACAGCGTGTTTGTTTTTCCGAAAACATTGAATCTTGAAGTTTGCAGTTTGCCTGGCAGTTAGCACTAATAGTTAAAACAAGTACAACCATGTAGCAATGTTGTTTTAATAGTCATATAGTATACAGTATCTATGATATCTATCGTATGTGTTAAAATTATAAGCGTTTATCCTGTTGTCATTACACAGATCAGCTGGTGTAATGTTACCAACTGGTGCGTCGAAGGCTGGAAGGCAAGAATATTCTTCCCTTCGAAACTAAACACATTATAACGTCTGTGTAATACAATAATGCCTCGTGAGAGGAAATTACCAAGCGACTGTATTATGTATAGCAATAACGATTTAGTCATATCTACTAATCTACATACCAGTGCACCTGTGCAGTATAGAGGCGGCAATCTGCATGGAATAATAATATATGTTATTGGGCCAAGAAAGATTCTATGTTACTTCCACACGATATCAGGAAATTGAGTTCCTCGTTTTCAGCTTTTGGTAATACATTTTGTCCCAATGAACCTTAATCCTTCAATGCTATTTAATAGGAAATAATAGGACTCAAAAGAAGCAGGCGATGTCTGACTTAAAGTTTAATTTATGTAGATCCAAAAGACCAAAATATTATTACTGACTGCAAAGTTTGGAAATTGCGCTCCGGAGATTTCGAAAATTCAATAGTAAATATATAGAAAGCATCAACATTTGCGCGCCCGATGTCTCCGCCGCACGATACAAATATATGAAATTATGTACAAATTATCTACTTCCCTGCTCGATAACATAACAGTGAAAACGTCGTGATAACTTTTAGTGAATTCTTAATATATTTATTTCAAAAACACCAAAAAGAAAAGACACGACTGGACGAAATAGTCGATAGCGAACTTTTGCACGCTATTCCATGGTCGCCATTTTGATTTCGTAAGTATTACGTAATTAAAATGACGTAATTTGTCATTTTGTGGCGTACCAAAGGGCAAACCTAGAGTCGGTGGGCACCACAAGTGGCCCCACCGTCTAATGAAGCAAAAAATAAAAAACCTGTGCTTTCATTATTATGACATATACAATGTCCAATCTGCTTTCTGCATTATCACTTAATACTCCTCGATAATTTGCTTGTAAATTTACATGTACTTCATTTTCAAATATATAATTTTTCGGTGAGTCCGGGATTGGACGCACCTCGGGTGGCTGGAAGTTTTCCGAACTCACCTCGCTTCGCTCGGTAAGTTCGGGACAGCGGCGGCGGAACAGATTTCGTTCTGGGGGGCTAAATTTTTTCGGCGACCTCCCCACCAACCCCGTCGCCAAAGAAATTTCGGTCAGTGTACCACTTTAGGGGTACAATATACAAAAAAAGAGACGAAAAAAATTTTTTCGGACTTATATCAAAAAATTTTTTCGGAAATACACTTTTTTAAACAAAATATTGCAAATTTGTCCCCTTATACCTAAACTTTCAAAAAATAACCTAAATTTTTCCCTAATTATCAAAATTTTTTCCAAAAATTCTAATTTTCTGGGGGGGCTAAG